AGAAATCTTGTCTATCTAAAGAAAGTTCTAGCGCTGAAAATAATTATCGGACGGTAGTTTTGATGAAATATAAAAAATTTCGAAAATGTCAATACAACTTTATCCCTTACATTCTTAGCTCTTGCAGAATGAAAATGTCATACGAACGTTTGCTCACACTTCCTTGATAAACTACGAATACTCTGGAAAACTTGTATTTTTTTTCAGTCTTTCAGAGGATTTTACTCGCAATTTAACATTGCGTATTTGGAAATTTCATTAAAAATACTCATAATTTATTTAGGAACTAATCAGGTATTACGTTAGCTACTTGAAGGGTCTAAGCTTGCCGTACGACTTCCTACGCGAGAAGAGAGATTCTTGTGCGCGAGCATCAACTTTTAAGAATTTTGTTTTTCTAACAACAGTAATTTTTTCTGATTTTTCTAAGCTTCCTCTCTCATTTTTTGAAAAATTCGAAGGGGTGTCAAGGCGGTCACATACCGACGGTGAAACTAGCAGACCACGTATCTCGTTTGCGGTGCTTAAAAATCTCCACTCCCATTTTATTTTTTGAAGATAATTAAGTCAATATCGTTTCTTAAAATTTTCACAGATATTCCTTTGCACAGAGAAGAAAGCATACGGAAGTTTTCAAAAATTTACGTTGAGTGGTTTTCCATTTAAATAATAAAGTATGACAGAATGCCTGCAGCGTCGCAAACCGAGATACGTGGTCTGGTAGTTTTACCGTCGATACGTATTTTAAAAAGAAAGTAAGAAGTTTTCATGCACACGAGGGGAAGGGGAAGTCAAAATGTCGGCCAAAATCCCTTACTTAATACTTGAACGGTCCTCAACTATTTTATTCACAGAAATTTGGCAACTTCTAAGTGTGTTTTTTCCTAGCACAGCAGCACTGACCGAGTAGTTTCTCCTTGCTGAGGCGAGGAGGAATGTTTCACAGGGTTCCATTTCTTCAGAGGTTACCGTAGGTCTTGTGAAATCTCGCAAAAATTCTGTTAAACCAATCTGCTCGTGTAGGTGAAACTGATAGAGGAAGGGGTTGAGCAAGGGGAGGGAGCTGGCGGAAAGCTAGGAGCTTGCCTTGGCCAAGAGCCAAAAGCTACCGAGGGCTGAAGTATCAATTAAGTGCTACAAAGACTTGGCTCCTTGTCACCCTTTCTGAGCGGATAATTAGATCCAAGGCACCGACTTCGTTCTTAACCTTTTGTCCTGCTCAACTTCTCCATTCCTCAAAATCAACAAAACTTGCAATGGTTTAGCAAGGCTCAAACCATTGAAATTCTTACATACTTGATTATTCTCGTTCCACTGTCATGTCACCACCAGTGGCGAGGCGTGAATGATCGATTATCGATATTTCCCTATTTAAGCTACGGTAAAGAATCGATTATTAAGGTGCTCGTTGCGAACACCCCGTTTATCGAGCCTTTTCCATGGGTTTAAATGTCAGATCAATCGATATATCGCAAAGCACGCAACTTCATCGGTCACGACCCGAGCAACACCCTCGTCGATGGCAATTAGCAATCGCCGGCAAATGCCATCTACTTGAGTTGAATGAAAAGTTATAAACATAGTAGTAAAGAAACAAGATATACTTACTTACAATCAAAGAGTACTGATTATTGTGCTCGGCTCAAACGGACGTTTTTTTCTTCAATGCATGATACCATGCACACTTGCGAGGGCATCTAGTGAAGTCAATAACCTTAGTTGGGTTTGGTTCGGATAGGCAACTAAATTAACTGCTGTGCAAGGCGGAGAGTATCGCGGACACTTGAAGGCGCTCCAAGCCGCGGCCGTCCTTTTAATGTACTCTGCCTGCTACGCTCATGATGATTATGTTATTTTCCATCGTTGAGTCGATCATCTCTCTAATGTTTTTGTTATAAATAAGTAAAAGAGAATGTACATTACCTTTAAAAGTTTTAAAAATGAGCATGTGCCGCACGATTTGTGCGGCGTTATAAATTTCTGACTTTTCAAATCATATTTTATTCACGACAAACTAATCACTGTTTGCTGCAGGACATTTACGGGATTTCTCCATTACATTCCGATAATATCTCTGAAAAGTTTCATAGAAAAATGTTGGTCTGTTTACCTTTGAAGTAGTGAAGTGAAGACAGGATTTTCGAAGAACTGATACCGAACTACAACATTTCTTTTATGCACTATCGTAGTTTGGTGGAAATTAAACATCCTGCGTTATTAAGGACAAATAGTGAAATATAGACGATAGTGTGCGAGGCTCAAAATGATCATTAAATTAATAATCAGTAACGTTCATAAATAATGATGAATGGATAGGACGTAAAAATAAATTTGAGAAAGCCTCTGCCTCTTTGGGCCCTTCAAAATACCCCCCGCCACCGCCACCGCTTCAGTGGCGTGGCGTGAATGACGATATATCGATTGTTATGCCATTCAAGCCTATAGAAAGGATCGATAAATAGGGTGTTCGCAGCGAACACCTTAGGTGCCATAGGTTTACCATAGGTTTTACTATAGGTTTAAATGGCATAATAATCGATATATCGCAATTCACGCCACGTCACTGCACCGCTTCGATTGGGGAGAGGCTCACAGTTTGTCCACTGAGTTCTGATTACAGAATCACTTCCACCGCTGGCCACCGATTAAGAAGCAGTGAGATAATCACGTGCTCGACTTCAGAGGACGAGTTTGTCATTTGCTGAACTCAGCGCATTTTCCTGAAAACCGTCATCACCCACTCCAAAGAAAAGCTACGCCAAGCTCAGTTGCCATGTCTACCGAGTAATTGCTTACTCGAACTCAATCATACAACTGGTAGTGAAATGTCAGCGCACAAGTTTCTTAGGGGTTGTTCACATAGAAAATGCTTCCTCTCTCCCCACTGAAAAAAAAATCTCGGTGTATTTACTAAGAAAAGGGTAAAATTACTAGGAATTCAGGGTTCCATTTGATCCCAGTTTTTTCTTGGTAAAATTACCATTTGTGGAATTGGTAATTTTACAGGGAAATCTCGGTAAAATTATTGACTTTCTCGGTAATTTTACTGAACCCCGGTAAAAGCGCCAATATTTTTTATCGACTGTGTTAGAATTACCGAGATAAAATGGCAAAGTTACCAGGAATTGATTACCAATATAAGTGGTATTCTTACCTGAAAAAACCAGTAAAAATACCGGTTTTTAGGTAAGTTTACTGGTCAGTCTTGGTAAAATTACCAATAATTGGTAAAAAAAAAGTGAGATGGTAAAGGTACCAACGGACCTTGGTAAAAACGCCGAGAATTTTTTTTCAGTGTGGTAGTGAAATGTCAGCACACAAGTTCCTTAGGGGTTGTTCACAAAGAAAATGTTTCCCCTCTCCTGCCTTCCACTCGCAACATACCCGTTACGCAGATCTGCANNNCCCCCCCCCCCCCCCAAAAAAAAAAACATAACATAACGTTCAGCACAATCCCCCCGAAATTGGCGTTTTGTGGTAAATTTTAAATGAAAAATTGCGACGCCTTGATTTCCCTCTTGGATTTTCGAGAAATTGCTCGGGAGTTTTTAGCGTAATTTAAAACCATTTCAAAACATAAAGTAATTTATTTTAAGCTATGTTATTATTTATCAATTTGAAACAGCCATGACAGCCCCCTTTGTTATGTCCTCGTGACGCAGGCTCATGCTGTCGTGCTAAGCAAGTACGCCGTAAATCCATCAAGATTTTCCCTCGTTTTTTGAAACTTAACACTGTATAAAATATAAACCATTTTACCCATGCACCTCAAATTTCCAGGTTAAATTTTGTATAGTATTTGCGAAAGAATTCTGTAAAAACATTGTCCCAAGGTACACAAGTTTTTCTGCTGTAATACGTTGTTTTTTAGTTGCACGGCAGCATGTCAAGGAAAAATTTTAAGTAATACGAGCGCATTGTACAGTTGGCATAAGCAAAAACAACTAAAAACTGGATACTTATGTAACTGTCAATACACACAGGGAGATCCCAAAGTTTTGCACCCCCCCCCCCCCCTGAAAGCTTGTGCTCCTTTCGGAGAGATCCCCTCAAAATTTTCGGGGATCTTAAAAGTCTTTTTTTTTTTTACTTAGGACCCTTAAATTTCAAGTCTCCAATTCAATTTGTCCGAGGGTTACAAGAAAGATGCTAAAATCTCTGCCGTGCTGAGGAAAAACGCCGTATGAACATTCGGGAGTTGCCAAATTTCCTCTGATGAAATTTCGATTTTTTAGGAAAATTATGAATATTTTACCTTGAAATTTTCAGGAGCTTTAGATCAAAGTGCGAACAAAATTCTCTGAAAGATTAGTAAAAAAATATTCATAAGTTTACCAGGGAATTCGTGTTTTATCAAAGTAAATTTGGCAACGCCTGAAGGTTCATAAGGCGTTTTTCCTTACACTGGAAAAAAAAAACATTGGATCTAGAGTCCAGACTCTTGAAAACATTGACAAGAAAAAGGACTCTTGATTCAATCAGATTTCAGCTTAAATCTAAAGGAAATCCGCTCAAATTAAGAGGCTTGGTTCTTGATTTAAACTTAAATCTGATTGAATCAAGAGTATTTTTTCTTGTCGATGTTTTTAAGAGTCTGGACTCTAGATCCAATGTGTTTTTACTTTCTCGTTTTTCTCAGTGTTGCACGGCAGTGCAGATGGTGCGTGACTTCTGGAGCACCCTGTATAACGCATAACGCATGGGCATTAAGTCACACTTCAGCACATAAACTTGCAGTTACGGCGTTGAATAAATCTTAAATGGAATCAGGAGCACTCGATCAATTTGAAACCTGAAGCTATCAACACCCACACCGTTTCACGCCCGAAGATGCGCAGCTGGAGCGAGAAGAAATAACCACTCGATAAGACGTAGCTCTTTAGGGGGGCGGTGCATACTGCACATTATCATCCTAATGTCTGATATGCCATTCACCCCTTGAGCGAATGAATGCACCCGTGCAGTTAGCGCTTTTCTTGGGTATAAAACGAGGAACAACGCTTTACTTTTCAACATAACTTTGAACGCCTCCTCCATCGAGTCACAGGTTCCTCAGTTTCTTTTGGTTTGTTCACCGACGTTGGCACAATGAATCCTGTGGTTACCAGTTTCTTCGCCCTGCTGTTGGTCCTCTTTGTCGTCGACTATGTCCAGGTTTGTTTGAAGCGTGAATGTTTGTATTCACGCAACTTCATATCATATAGTGGTCTCAATGGAGAATTTGCAGGCGTCTGAAATTCGATTAATTTTCAGTAGCGTGGCGTGCTTTGCGATAAATCGATTGGTATGCCATTGAAACCTATGAAAAAGGATCGATAAACAGGGTGTTCGCAGCGAACACCTTAATAATCGATCCTTTACTGTAGGTTTAAATGGCATAACAATCGATGTATCGTAAAGCACGCCACGCCACTATTGATTTCGTGTTTAAGTGGAAACTATTGAGTGAGCTGAACATGAGGATAAACCTTAGTTTATTGAACGATTATTGGAGAAGATGTGACAAAATAATATATAATCTGCTCAAATGCATGCGTTTAAATGGGAAATGTTGCCACATGACGTCACTAGACGGTGCATTTTCTCACTTTTAAATCTACTTTCATAATTTTTCCCATGTCAAAAAAATGTTTAAAACAAAAGTGCAAAATCAGGTCTTTGATCTCGTCATCTCCGATGGAGCATTAAAAATTTGCATACAAATCCTCCTTTAAGTCAATTGAGTCTCAAAGAGTCCAAGATCTGGGACCTACATCAGAAGGACACTTTTTCAATCCTGAAATATCTCAAAGTTCCTTAGGTTTCGGCATCGGCGAATTCAGCAATTTGGCAACACTGACTCCCCTCAATTTTAACTTGGGTTGAATAATCGATATTTGTCGAAGCACCTGGCGACCTGGCATCTCCGAAAATCGATACATTTCCATAGGTTTAAACGGAGAAGAAATAGTGTTGCCAATTTTCTGGATCCACTGATGGGTTTCGGTTGATTTAACAATAAAGTACAGCTACGTACTGGAGCGCCGGTGATGTCAATCTACGAACGGATCATTCCGAGCCCCTTGTTCGCCAAAAGTGTGAGCCAAACAACATTTTTTAACACGGTGGCTTATGGGAGAATCGCGAGTTGCGAATGGTTTTTGGGGCTCATTAATTTTAATCGATAATTCTTTTCGCGAATTTCGACAAATTATGTTGATCCAAGTCATTACAAATTAAAAAATATATGAAAATCCCGGTTTTTAAGAAATAAATGATATACCTGTATTTGCCGAGCGAAGCCCAGAGCGGAACCCTGTTCACAACGAATCGCTAGTCGCCGCACACAAGTCTCGGGAGTACTGGACAAAACAGCATTTGAAAGTTACTTCATCGGCGCTTCAGTCCATTGTGACTATTGTACTCTATGATTCAACATAAAAAAAGAAAATATATTAATCAAAGGCAGAGAGTAAAGTAGAGTAGAGTAGAATTATTCATTCTTTTTACCCTTTCTGGTTTACAGACTTGCAAAGACCCAAATATAAGTAAAATATATTTATATCGATATCATTTGGTATTTAACATGTTATAAAGTTGTAAAGGGTTTATAGACTCGCAAAAACACAAATTTATGTAAAATATATCTGTATCAATATCATTTGGTTTTTCAATTTTAGAAGCATTCATAAAAAAAGTATGAATATTACACAAATTTTAAACGGTGGATTACATATTTAAAAACAGACGGATCAATGCATTGCTAAAAATTACTAAAAGTTGAGATCATTCATTGATTATGAAAGAGCGTATCTTCATTAGAGCAGATAGAAATAGAGACAGAGATGCTATGCTGTTCTTTTATCATATTTTTTTCTGAGATCTGAAGAAATGTCGGCATGTCTCTAAGAAAGTAATAGTTCCTGACGTCATTATACATAGAAACATTATTCAAAAGTAATAAAAAAACACGGACATTGTTAATAATGAGCCTTCAAGATGAGGGTCTTTAAAAACATTTTGTGTCAGGATGTTACGAGTAACTCTTCCGACTTCAGAGACCAGAGACCCTCCAATCGTATCTCGGCTATTGTGGAAGCTTTTACTTTCGGGGCATCAACATTAAACTGTTGACTTACCTACATGGTTGAATGGTTGATGTTCAACAACGTGTTGGCAGTTTCGTTTTGCAAACAAGCCAAAACGAGCCGCAGTTTGGGAAACTTATTCGACTCATTACGTTACCCGAAGCTCATCATCCACCACGTGGGTAGGTCAACAGCCAAAAAAAGAGTGATGACTGTTGCTCCCTTATCATTGTCCATAAAGCGTCCAGCCAACTTACAAACTAGATGAGGCTTCAAAGAGATTCATCGATTGCCCCGACTTAAACCGCTGGCCAATGAGAGGACCTGGAAAGGCATCGATGAACCTCTTTGAAGCATCTAGCTTATAAGTGGGCTGGACGCTTAAGGAGGTGTTGAATCCCCGAAAGTAAAAGCTTCCACCTGTCGCGAGGAGGCCAGTGGAGGGTCTCTTGTCTCTGGTCTTCCGCTCCATATTGCCTAAGAAGTAATATTTGCTTTCAGAGCTGTGCTGTCTCCAACGCAAACGTCAACGCAGGAGGATGTGGTGGATGTGGTGGATGCGGAGGCTGCGGTTGTGGTTGTGGCTGTGGTTGTGGTGGTTGGGGAGGATGGGGCGGTTGGGGCGGTTGGGGAGGCTGCGGATGCGGCTGGGGTAGGTGTGGATGTGGGCCTTGGGGCTGGGGTTGGGGTAGATGCGGCTGTTGCTGCTAACCCATCGATCATCCGGCTGAAAACTTCATCACTTCAAAAAGTTCCGGTTCGAATGGACCACGGAATAGGTTATGAACATCACCTCAAAAAATAAATATGACTCCTCGTCAAAATTTAATGTAAAAACATCGCTTGCACGAAAAACTTCCAAATTAGGAGGGATTAACAAAACTATTGAAATATCGGAAAATATGTTTCTATCACACGCATATTATTAGCTGTCGATCAATCGTCAATTCAACCTTTTCTCTTCTTTCATGATTTTTGTAAGTTCACTAACACTCATGGTGCGATTTTTAGATTTCAAGAAATAATCTGAATTGAGGGGCTTGGAGGACAAGGCGCATAAATGCAGTTTTTGAAAAAATTGAGATTTTATTGATTTCAAATAAAACTGATCTTGATGCATCTTCTGTGAAAAATTGGCCCCCAAATTCCAATTTTTAAGCATCAAAAAGTCAGTTAGAACTTTCTCTCCGCCATAAGGCTCCATGTAATTTCAAAATCTCAAACACATATTTCTCGAAATAACAAAAACTGCACTTATATGCTTTGTCTCAAAGCTCCTCCATTGTCGTTTTCAGTTTACATTATAAAGAGCAGTTAAACCCTCCTCGTATATGAAGGAACTATGTGGAATAAGTCAGTTATTAATGATAACCTATATTTTATATGTCGGTGTCTGAAGCTTGGAATCGCACACATTTCTCGCCTCTCCTGATACAAGACAACTCTAATCTTGTCAAAGAAAAATCCCTACCCCCGCAGAAAAATTCATCCATCGTAAAATATGGAACTTGGTTTTTTTTGAGGGGGAAGCGTGAATTAACTTATAGTAAGAAAACGCTATTTCCTCACTTATAAAATAAATTTAGAAAGATTCAATGCGACGATCAAACTCTACGCAAAATGTAGATGAGGAAGCATCTGTTTTAGTGCTTAATTTTGTAAACTGTTTAGTGGTCTAGCTCGGGTTTAAATTTTAAGTTCTGACGACACTGGCATATCTTCTCTTAAATCACAAGGCGATTGAAGGCAAGAGCATCATCAAGAAGACAGAACCAGCAATGTATCCGGCAGCAAACACTGCCTCAGCTGAGTTTCATCAAAGTTCATCATGAAAATTCAAATTCGACAGAGCCTCTCGATGAAATACTTGACGAGACTTCTTCATGGGGCACCGCATGGCTGTTATTTAACATGCATCCTGAAGCTCATCAGTCCGATTCTGCAGCTTGAAACTTCGATACCTCGCTTTTATCGATAGACTTCAATTCGGCAGGGTGATGACACCGGCTATAGGATTAGACTCCTGGTCGTGAACGCAAGGTTCCCGCCAAAAAAGTGAATTCAAGCAAAAACATACACCCTTTGCGTCTGCTGAATAAAATTTCGTGTTCAACTTTTAATATCTTTTTCTTTTCATATATGATTTCCCCGAGATTTTTTCTGGTGAAGGAGGATGAAAGGAAAAATTACGAGGAAAAAATTGGCGAGTTCTTAAGAGCATTTAATGTAGCATATTTATTTATTTTAAATAAGAATCTCAAAAGATATGTTGATTGTAAATTGTTTCATCATGTGAAGTTGCAATATCGTAATTCCAAATCTACAAGCGCCAATCATGCAGACATTTCCTGCACATCACTTTCTGTGTAGCTCATACACTTTGATTATTGCTAGCTTTACAATACCTGCAATGAATATCGATGATATGACATGCGGTTAAACTCCAAGGATCTTAATTATTCCAGGGGCATATTTTTGTGATGCAATCAACTCTACCATTCTCTTACATATTCATTAAAATGAGGACTACTAAACTTCCTCATTATTTTTACCTCCCTACCCTACAATATTAATTGATGAAACAGATGATACACATAGATGCATAGAGGTAAAATAAAGAGAATCAAGTCTATGATCATCCATATAAGTGCTCTATCATCGACTTTCTTTTGATATTTGATTCGCTTTTCAAGGAAGAAATCAAACGTTTTTCGGGTGTTTTTATTTGTGGGAATGTGTGTCCTCCACGATTAGCTCGTAAAAGATCATAAATTAATTGCAACCCATGAAATCTGGAAATTTTTTGAGGAGACAACGCACAGTAAAAAGTTACCAAAACTGTGTGATAGTATCGAAAATAGAACACGAAATGCCACACAATTTTAGTGCTTTCTTTTGGTTTCTTATTCCTCGGTTAAAAATTAACCAAATCCTTTACAACCGTATAAATGAAATACGAACGTCTGAGGTTAAAATCGGAGTTTATAGGAGATGATCTACTACGTTAGAACTCTTTGATGCAACTGTTCGGGCTGTATGGATGTCTGTGTTGCATACCCGCGGAGGTAAAGGCGTTTTGACTGTCCAGGCACTTGACTACTTTGCCGGCGCGACGTGCTACCAGCACGAAACGCGCACTGGGGCCTACAAACCTAAGTAGATACTTCACGCATTGCGCAATGCTTAAGGTATCCCTTAGGTTTGTAGGCGCCAATGCGCGTTCCGTGCTGGCTGGCTGGCCGCGCCGCACAGTGGATCGAGTCAATGGGAGAGGTCGGACATGAATTTTTTGACTGAAACTGCAAATTTTGATGTTTATTTTGTCACATTTTCAATTTCAAGAGATGCCCTCAGATGAATTGTTCATGAGGAAACCAATGGAACCACTTTTAGACCTCAAAGTTCTGTATAAACGGAGTTATAGTAAGCGTTTAAAGTTTCTAAACATTGTCCGACCTTTTCTATAAACTCGATCTACTGCGGCGGTGCAGCGCAGACGCGTCTTCACAGCGAGATTCAAAAATAGCAGAGCGCATTAAATTCTTCGTTTATACTACAAAGGCAAATCATAAACAAAGATAAATTAGAGGTATGTGACCCCTTTTGACATGCGGGGGAAATCGGTCGGTGAGTCGTCGCATCGGGACAATATCTTCGCACTCGGGGGTCAGTGACTTTCTGATCCAAAATTACAAACAATGTACACAAGTCAGCCAGTCGTTGCAGGTAAAATGCCTACAATGCAGAGGGTATGCAATCCGCTTTGCGGGTCCCTCCTGCCCGCCAGCACCCTGGGCCCCTGAGGCCTAATCCAGCCCCGTTTTCAAGGAACAGTCTTAATGGCTTGTATGTGCAGACTACGGAACAAAAACGATGACCATTCGTCTTTCCAAAAATTGAATTACGAAAAAGTCGGATAAATATATTAGTGAAAATTATATTACTATCTGCTCCTGAAATCCGTGCTGAGTTTAGTTTCAATTAATTCCAAAACCCAGGTAAGGCCAAAAATTCCGTCGGCTGATTAGTTCTTGAGGGCAGTTTTTTTTCTGATGCAGAGCGTTCAAGCAAAGCGGATATTATAAAAGACCTCCTTACCTCTCCGTTTCCACCGGAGATGCCATGGTGACGTCACGCGTGTTTTAATTAAAACAGTAAAGTTTAGTGTTTTACCATTGTGGAAGAGGTGTTTTATGGGAGGCATCCGTGATTAGGTAAAAGCAATATCAAGAGCATGACCGGCACTCGTACCTTCCCTTAAGGGCAGTGGAACTTGCCGACTTAACGACAGGAAAAATGTGACGCGGTAATTTTATTACCTGAAAAACGGTTGGTCATCCCCCATAAATTCCGAGTGTTGCCGGGTAGATATACAAGTTTCCAAAGGGATAAAAACCCTCTTCTTACCTCCTCGCTCTACATTCACGCAGATCGTTGCCAAGCGCAATGCCATGGATGTAATTAAGTGCACGTAACTGAAGGGTCAACGCAAGAATGATTCCTGTTAAGTGCATTTTCTGAGATTTTTTATAAAATCAAGAACGCAGGCAAAATGATGCATACTGGTTTTGTCGACCATTAAACTAATCATCGCTCCTCTAACGTATCTCCCTTTAATAATTACAAAATTTACCTACACTATTTATTTCTTTTTTCTTTGTTTTACAAAACCATCAGCATAAATACTGTTCAAAAATTTGCCGATTTTTGACAGTAGTACGTGGGAAAACCATGGAAAAACTGTGAAATTAAAATAAAAAAAAGGCAATAATCTTCGAGGTTAAAACATCCGGGGCTTCTTCGGTAAAAGGACGTGTTAAATCCTATTCGTTGTTATTAATAAAATCATATGCTCATTTTTATTATTTCTTTTTGGCGTCTCCTGGCCTCCTAGGTGACGACTCTTGGATAAAAATTTATAACTTTCATGGTCTTTCTTCATGTGCGTTGAATAAAAAAACTGAGTATCCAGTGCATTGGTAAATAACTATTTATGTAATATTAATTGAAATAAATTTAACTAAATAGTCATTTACCAATGCACTGTATAATCAGTTTTTTTATTCACCGCACATGAAGAAAGACCATGAAAGTTATACATTTTTATCCAAGAGTCGTCACCTAGGAGGCCAGGAGACGCCAAAAAGAAATAATAAAAATGAGCATATGATTTTATTAATAACAACGAATAGGATTTAACAGGACGCGTGATGCTTGCAACGCTGATGAGATGGTGCAATTCTTCATTTCATTCGCAGCAAATGAAATTCATTTACTGTTGACTCATCCACACTCAGGTTTCGTGAGAAAAATGCATGGAAAATTCGCAGCAAAAATGTTATGCCGAAGCTTATAGATAAGTTATTTTTAATTAGAGAACTACATTGCATACTCTTAGCAGCTTTGTAGGCCTTATACGGCCCTTTTACTGTAGGAATCCTCAATCTTCAGTGAAAATTTCACAACGTGGAATCGTAGTTAGGTTCTTTCGTCAGGAAAACTACGTAGTGACGTCATCCTTTATATTATTGACGTCATCAGCCGACATGCAGACGTGAATGAATCCGAGCGTTTCATCATTGAGCACATCTTCGTTTCACTTACCTCGTCGACCGGCGGTGCGGTGGGGTATGCATGTAAACCGACATTGCCCGCGAGTAGCGTGGGTTGCATTTGCAGTTCGAACGGCGCTCCACATAGACCCGCTGAATAATGTAACGGTCTGTTGCGCTTAATTACTGCTTTCTTTTGACGCTCCTCGCCCAATGTGAATAATGCGCATACATTATACGTATTAAAAAGGGAGAAGGGAAAAATTGCTGCAAAAAACATTACTTTATAATTATGTCTTGGTTATTAAAAAAAGACGAGGAGAAGTGAGGAGGAAGCTTGGAATAAAAGATAAAAAAGTTATACACAAACAAGCCACCGGAGTTGTCATTTTTCTGATGTCCCTGTAATATTGATCGATTGTGAGCAGAGAGAGGAAACTCGGACCTGTCTTATGACAGAGCGCTGTCGCTTTTGAGCGCTTGTACACTCATTCTGAGATTAAGCGCAGAATCGTCGGTGTTTCAAATACTTCATTCATTGAATATTTAAGAAAACTTGTGAATAGAATTTCTACAAAATATTGTGCAGTTCGTCAGCTTGCTCATAAAATATTCCAAACAACTAATGCACCCAGCACATTAGCCGCTCTAATACTTCATAAAAAAGTCAAACAATGATATAGATGATTCGCAAATTATGACATGCGCTTTTGTGCTCGAATAATTTCTACAATAATATACATACGTGTTTACTTTTCCATGCATCCGTAACAAGGTCACATATGTGAAAATTGTAATAGGTAAATTTCAGCTATTTTTACGTTTTGTCATTATTTTCAATAGGAAAAAAAATGCAAAGTTGCAATTCCTTGCTAAATTTGTCCGTAACTCCACCCTTTTATATCATAAAGAGTCCAAAACTTCGGACTGACTTTTGATTTTTTTCTTTCGTCAGTAAATTTAAAATTTTTAATTATTGTCACATAAATACATTGTCTTTTTGTAAAATTGGTCGTAATTGCTGTGCCCCTGCATCAATGGACATGCCATATTTTTTTTTTCAAACAAATTTAGATATTTGTCCTTTCGAGCAAAACTCGTTTGAGCGTGTCCCCATTGGAAAAAAACTGTACGTCAGAGCCCATTTCCTCGCCTCAAAATTAGGACTCGATGTTCATGAGTGTGCCGTACCTAAGCTTCTATTCAGCTTTTCCATTTTAACGGGTTCCCCTTAACATCTTAAAAATATGACTAAAACCCGCCATCCGTGGCCCCCTATATTTGCTCCGAAATCCGTTCGATAAAAGATTCAACGATGTTATTTCTAACGCTTGACGCAGAAGCTTAAAAAATTTCGAAAATTATGTCGCCGCTTGCAACAGGGCCTTCACGGATTATTTGCACTTGAGCCATCGACCGTTGAATATCAAGAGCGGAATTAGAGTTTATACGTATCTGCTGCGCGTGTGTGAAAGCTGGGTGAATTTACATAAATTAAATATAAATAATTCACCGAGGAGGCACTCCTTTTGTTTGAGCGTCTTCAGTTTTCTTTCTCCGCTTCCTAC